GGCGGGGGGTGGTGCCGGGAGGGGCCCTCCACGCTGGGGCCAGGGAGGCCCTGCCCTGCTGACCACGCCGAGGGCCCTGTCCAGCTGCACCTCAGATTCTGCCACGAGGCGGTGGTGAGACACGTGGAACAGGTCCTGCAGCGCCACGGCGTGCCCCCTCCGGGCAGACCATCGGCTGGCACAAGCGTCAGCCAGAAGGTGAGGAAGGAGCCTCTGGGGCTGGTGGGGTCAGCCCCAGCCTCGTGGACCGGTTTCCACCCACTCCTATCTTCCCAGAATCACCTTCCTCAGGACTCCCAGGACCTGGTTCTTGGCGGGGATGTGCCGATCAGCTCCATCCAGGCCACCATTGCCAAGCTCAGCATCCGGCCTCCCGGGGCCCTGGATTCCCCAGCCGCCAGCCTCCCAAGCCCCGTAGAGCCCCCGGGCCTGCCACCAGCCAGCCTCCCGGAGTCCACTCAGCTCCCGTCCTCCCCCCCACCCCCCGTCTCTCCACCCCAGCCCGAGGCCCCCCAGCCTGAGGAGGAACAGCCAGTACCTGAGGCCCCCAGCCTGGGGCCCCCCTCCTCCTCCCTGGAGCTGTTGGCCTCCCTAACTCCCGAGGCCTTCTCTCTGGACAACTCTCTGCGAGGAAAGCAGCGGATGAGCAAGCAGAACTTTCTGCAGGCCCATAATGGGCAGGGTCTGCGGGCTGCCCGGCCCAGTGATGACCCCCTCAGCCTCCTGGATCCGCTCTGGACACTCAACAAGACCTGAATAGGCTTTGCCTGCCCGGTCCTTACACTACATCATCTCCCGCACCGGTCTGCCCACCCTAGCAGGGCCTCTCCGGCCGGCCGGTCTCTTACTCCCATTCCTGCTGCCTTCAGCCCTACCTGGCCCAGCCCGCACCCCTGTGGGGTGGAGATGCCTCGCGGGCCTTGGGTCAGGTTCTGCTCCTTTGTGGGACCTGACATTTTTCAGCTCTTTGCTATTAAAGTAATAAACCAACCTGTTCTGTGGCCAGTGTCTGCCCGTTGCTGCCTTAGGGAGGGGGCCTGAGCCTCAAGCACCGCCCGAAACGTGGTGCCTTCAGTGAGCTTGGGTGGGGCTAGGCAGTAGGAGGACCATGGGGCCGCACTGGGCTCCCACGCCGCTGAAGGGTTAAGGAGGCAGGCCCGCAGCTCGGGCTTGCTGGGCTTCCCTGCCTCGTAACCGCCCCTGTGCACTGAGCACGGCCCTTGCCCGGACCGACTCGTGCTCGCAGAAGCATGTGAGCAAATGGGGGCTCCCGGGCACAGGGAGGGCGTGCGGCAGGGGTGCAGCAGCTCTAGGGAAAGATGCAAGTGGCTCAAAAGGCCCGTGGCAGATAGGATTAAAAAAAAAAAAAAAGTTTAATATTACAGTCACAAGGCAGGACAGGACAGATCAGAGACAGCTTCCGGAAGACTCAGCTCTGCACCGCAGCTCCCGCCCCCTGCTCAGTCCAGCTTCTCCAGCACGGAGGGCACGTACACCAGGCTGAGCTCGCTGCCAAAGTTGCAGACGATGGCGGCATTGTCCAGCACCAGGATCTGGCGGGTGGGCTGGGCCTCACTGTTCTTCCCCAAATAGACGGTCTGTAATAGGTCCCCGTAGTTGAGGTCCCAAAAGGAGACACAGCCCTGGCCGCCAGTCACCAGCAGGTTGTCAGAGATGACCCCCAAGCTTGCACCACAGCCCAGGTCCTGGAGGCAAAAACAGATCAGCTCGGTGTCCCGAATCCCTCCCTAAAACACCAAGAATCCTGTGGCCCCCGACCTGCCCACCTGCTGAATGGAGTAGAGCTTGATGCCGGTGCTCCGGTCCCAGATGCTGATGAGGTCATCCAGGCCACTACTGATGACGCAGGAGGTGGTACAGGTGAGGGAGGTGACGTCCCCACGGTGAGCGAACATGTGGCTGACCCTGCTGCCGGTCAGCACATCCCACAGGCAGATGGCCCCATCTTGTCCTCCACTGGCCAGCACCATGGTCTAGGGGAACAGGCCCAGGGGGGCTGGGTCACTGGGGCAATACCTCTGTCCACGAGAGTGTCCCAGTGCCCTGGGGAGTGGGGGTCCTCCCGCTCTGCTTCCCAAAAGGTTCTGGGGGCCAGTTGTCCGGAGTCCAAAACAAAGGCCATGGCTTGGTATCCTGGCACCCCACCCGTGGCCCCCGGAGGCTCCCTCACCTGGTCAATGTACACGGCTGTGATGGCCCCCGAGTGGCCCTGCAGGGTGAAGAGGCAACACGAGTCCTCCAGACGGAACACCTGGGGCAGGGGTGGGCATCAGTTCTGGTCTGGGGTGGTTTCCCAGTTCCATTTTGGCCAGGAAATCCCTTCTGTGCATCCTCTCCCTGGCTGACCCCGAACGCTCGCCAACCCGGGCTAGGCCACCCCAGCCCCCACAGACAGAGCCAACCCTCACTCTCAGCGTGTGGTCCTGGCTTCCGGTCACGAGTCGCCCAGCCGCAGCCTTCAGGGCTGTGATGGGTTTCTGGTGTGCACAGGGCACGGTGTGGGTCAGGCGACAGGCTACTGTGTCACTGCTGCTGTACACAGGGGACGTGGGGGAACTGCTCCGCCCTGGAGTCCCTGGAGACAAGCTGAGTATGCGGTCTCTGCGGGCAGCCGCCGCACCCCCCCCACCCCCGGCCAGGTGCAGGCACCTGCCCAGCGCAGGCCCTCTGACCTCGGAATTGCAGGGGGCTGAGGGCAGTGCGGGTCTCCAAGGAGAAGAAATCTAGGGAACCGTTGAGCCGGGCAGCCACAATCCTGGAAGAGAAGAGTGGCTGCTGGTGGCTCTCCCTCAGAACACCCGGGCTGGGGGCCGAGCACTGTGGCCACCTGACGGGTCAGCTCCACTGGGCAGATGGGAACAAACGAAGGGACCACGGCCAAGGGGCAAGCACAGGTGCTGGGAAACATGCTGAAGCCGGGGGACCCAGGCTACAACTCTACTCCGCCTCCGTTTCTCTATCTGTGAAATGGGGACAACTACCCACCTCGCAGGGTGGTCACGAGGGTAAAAAAGTGGCACCTGGAGAACAGGTAAGACTGTGAGTTGAAGGCCCTCAGAGCCTGGAGTTAAAGGAGGGGCTTCTGAGGAGAGAGACGAGCCCCAAGGGGGCTGTGTGTTGGAGCGGCAGGAGGCACCAGGGTCTCTGGCCTCAGAAAGCAGCTTCCATCCAAGCACCACCCACTGCCCTGCCTTCTTCACTGCCCAGGAAGTCCTAGGTAGAGACGGGGGTATTTGCCGAGGGGTCCCAAAGCCTTGAAGTGAGTGGAGTTCAAAATCTTCCTCCAGCACAAGGCATGTCTCCCAGCCCTGAACCGGAAGGGCCCAGGCCAGAGCCTGCGAAGGTGCCGTGAAGGGGGAGTGAGGAGGGCGAGGAGAGCCCACAGTCACCAGGAGCTCTGAGGGCTGGGCGGACACCCGGGGGCTTTCCCTGAACCTGAGAAACCAAGCAGCAGGGAAGAACTTGGGAGGAGGGGGAGGAACCCGCAAAGGCGGCCAGGCTCGGGGTGGGGGCTGGGGTGTCAGCCAAGGCCCATGCAAGCGGCCTCGCAGGGGCAGAGAGGACAGCTGCAGCCACCAGAACCTGAGCACTGAGGGCCAAGGGCACCCTGCCCCAAGAATAAAAAGGCTCCGGCTCTAGCTTAGAAGCTGGTGCCACAAACGGTGGGGACCCCAGAGGGCAGAGCCAGCATGGGACAGCTGGGGCAGGCGGGTGAAGTGAGGAGCAGGAGGCCCCGGTCGCAGTGAGACCTGGGTCTATCAGCCAAGAGCTCGGTTGGCTGGGCCCCCGGGGAGCACCCACAGCCAAGGAGCACACCGAGGACGGAGGTGAGCAGCGTACAGCGTCAAACACGAAGGTAAGTTTTAAACAGAAGGTTCTGCTGAGAAAGCATTTTTCGGTCACTGAAAATGCAGCCAAGACCTGGTTAGGTCTACGCTGATGGACTTATCCGGGAAACCCTGACTCTGAAGGGTAAGAGGGAAACCGAGTCACAGGGATTAGGAGCCTATTCTAAGTGCTTCAGTTGTCACCCCCCACAGGTGTGGGGCTGAGTACTGAGAAGGACCATCAATCACGCGGTGGGGAAGGACCCAGGAAGGGGACTTCTGCAGAGAGGCCGGGCAGCGCAGCTCCTCTCACCTTTTGTCCAGGAACACAAGGGCCGTGATGCCCGAGGTCACCTCCTCGCTGCTGCAGCGCAGTGTACCCTCGATGGCGTCCCACACCTGCAGGCCCAGAGGCCATGAGCACCTGCGGGCCGCCAGGCCCCCCAAACCCGCGCATGGCCGGCCCTCTGCCTACCCCCGCCCTCCCCGCCGGGGCCCTGCCCACCTCCAGGCGGCCGCTGCTCCGCCCCACCACAATCAGGCTGCCCTGCAGCTCCAGGCTCCAGATGGAGCCGTCTGCGCTGGGGGCCCAGGCCAGGCAAGGGGAGCCCTTCTCGGGAGGGCAGCCCCCCTCGTCCTCGGGGGTCAGGGCGGGGGGCCCGGGCCCCGGGGAGGACGGGCGCAGGGCTGGCGGGCGGCCGGGCGCCAGGCCATCGTCCTGGTACACGCGCTGCACCAGGCGGCTGAAGTCGTAGCCCGGGCCGTCGCGAGCACGGCTGCAGCCCGCCCGGTGCCGGGGCTCGGGCTGCGTGGGTTCCGAGAGCCTCGGCTGGGCCGAGAAGTTGGTGTCGATCAGGCAGGTGAGGTCTGGCTGGTCCCCGAAGAGGGCAGGCGGCGGAGGGCCCCGGGGCCGGTGCCGCAGAGGAGGGCTGTCCCCGGGCTCCTCCGGGCCCCCCTTCCCGCTGTCGGACAGCCGTTCCCAGCTCTCTTGAGCCTCGAACGCGCTGCCAACGCCACTGTCGCGGCGCTGCCTGCCAGGGGCCAGGAGGACGGAGTGAGGACACAGGACGGACGGGAGGGAGAGGGGGAGGGCGGGGAGGGGGCGGGCACCTACCCCAGGCGCGGGATGCGCGTCAGGCAGTCCCCGGTCTGCGCGTCCCACACACAGACGTGGCCCGCCAGGCAGCAGCTCACCAGCAGCATGCCGTCGCTGGCCAGGCACTCGATGTCCTGCGCGAGGGGGGCGGTCAGCAGGGGCTCCGGCCCCGCCCCGGCCCCGCCCCCAGCCCCGCCCCCGCACGCACCATGAGGTGCCCGCGCAGCACCAGCGGTGCGATCTCGGTCTCAGGCGGCGCGTAGCCGTAGTCGTCACAGGGTAGCTCCCCGC